ACCGTTTCCCGAGGAACTGCCAAATCTTGTCGTGCGCCAGCATACACACATTGTCACATAGCAATAGATTTCCTCGCGAACACCTTGCTTCAACCGAGGGCGTAGTTTGACCTTGCTGTCCGGCGGCCAACCCACCAGATCATGTGAGCTTCTGGTGTAACTTCCTGCTTTAATGTAGAAGGTGAGATCAGCCTTGCCGCCTTGGGGTTTCGCAATCCACCATACCGCGCAGGGTGTTTTGCCTTGACGGGCTGACAATGCTTAATAATGCTTGCAACTAGCTCTCCATGCAAACTCTCCCATTGGCCCTGTGTTTGTTCTTGACCCCGTCCGTCTCGTTTGAGTAGCCAGGGGGAAAAGACAGCCTTTACCCGCCTTTGCACGGGGTGATGTATGCGCTGTGCCCATGTGCGTTCGAGCGTGGTTCACGCGGGACACTGTCTTGGTTCCACTGTTTTTTTCTTGTCGCGCGAGCACCCTTCGCTGTGTCTGTCCTACGGGAGACGGATGAAGCGTGTCGTTTTTTGTGTGTGTGTGTGTGTTTACTGTAGGTACTGGTAGTTTGTTTCCAGGAACATGTGCCCAGGTGAGGTATATTTTGGCGGCGGGATAGGTGTTAAGCTGTTAAACCCCTTGGTCGCAAGCGACTTAATGTCCGTCGACGTACCGTGCCCAATGTGCAATGGCCACGCCGGACCGACTGCAGCAAGTTGATGTGACTTCAGTCGACGCGGTTTCGAGGATGGACACGTCAGCCAACGGATGCAGTGAGCTTCAACGAACAGTTTACGCAGGTGTGACTTCATGCGCAATCACGTAGCATAACCCGATGCCTCACAGTCACGCTCAGTCTGCATGCGTGCGTATTCCGAAGTTTGCCAGCCTAGGTTCCAGCACCCGAGCCCGTCACCGAGGCAAAGCCGCAGGAGACAATGGCGGAAGCACCAAAGGCAGAACCAGTTGCAGAGGCCCCCCAGGCTCCAGCCCAGGAAGCAAAACCGGAGGAGCCGGCTGCTGAGGCCCCGAAAGCAGAGTCAGCCACAGAGGCGAAACCAAAAAAATGTACCAAAGGGGTAGAGGCACCGAAGACTGAGGAGGCAGCCGCAGAGGTGCCCAAGACAGAGGAGCCAGCTGCCGAGGCACCAAAGGCTGAAGAGGCAGCCGGCGAGGTGCCGAAGACTGAGGAGCCAGCTGCCGAGGCACCCAAGGTTGAGGAGGCAGCCGCAGAGGCACCGAAGACTGAGCAGCCAGTTGCCGAACCACCAAAGGTCGAGGAGCCAGCTGCCGAGGCACCAAAGGCTGAAGAGGCAGCCGCCGAGGTGCCGAAGACTGATGAGCCAGCTGCGGAGGCAGCAAAGGCTGAAGAGGCGGCCGCCGAGGTGCCGAAGACTGAGGAGCCAGCTGCCGAAGCACCAAAGGTCGAGGAACCAGCTGCCGAGGCACCAAAGGCTGAAGAGGCAGCCGCCAAGGTGCCGAAGACTGAGGAGCCAGCTGCCGAGGCACCAAAGACTGAAGAGGCAGCCGCCGAGGTGCCGAAGACTGAAGAGGCAGCCGCAGAGGCACCGAAGGCT